AAGAAAATGCACATTGGCATATAAACCCATAAAAAGCTAAACTTAATGATAATAAAAGAGAAAAAAATATGGAAACATCAAAAAAAAACTTCACAAGAAGATAAAGATGAACTTCTGTGAATTTTTTTAACATATGAATCAGCCTTGTAACAGATACAGGTAATCATCCTCAGACTAGCACGGCTGGGACTTTAGATAGGCAAACTAACAGTGAATATCAATAAAACCTAGGCAAGCTTTAAGAGGCTGAATCTCTAAAGTGGGAATTAGGATAACCAAAACATCATTCTTATTTCTCTATTTCCTGAAAGTTACTTTACATTAAAAATAATATTTTCTTCATGTTAGACCATTTTGAATCACTTTTTATTTTAGTGTTTGTGGTTACTATGTTTAGAATTAAAAACATTTTTATTTTTATTAAAAAATAGATCCCTGGAAGCACATGCTGAGGTATGAATGATGTGGGGGGAGAAGGTAAAACACAAAAAGCCAAAGACTGAGGGGCTACAGAAGGAACATTGTGTTTAATAGCTCTCTAAGCCCAAGAAACCATGTGGTTCAGGGACTCAGGAAGATATGAATTGGCCTGGTGGCTTGAGGTGGAATGTAGCATGGAGGAATTCAATTCAAAAAACGTTTGTTAAGTGCCTACTATGTGGAAGGTATTACGTGTACCTAGAAGTTTAAGGAGCAGATAGTTAAAGGGAAAAGCTCTAAAGTTGAAGGCCAGGTCCTTCAGACCATTTCTGAGAGGAAAACCTGGTACGCTATAAAGGTTAAGTCTAGGACAGCAAAGGAAGGAAGGAAGGAATGCCTGTTCTAACCATACTCGCAGACAAAATTGGTGTCAGACAGTCACCCTGAGAACCCTGGCTCGCTGTAGCACCTGAAATTAATCCTCTCTTCCTCTGTCCCTCCCAAATGGGATTCAGACTGACCCCCAACCGGCTATGACTCCCAGAGAGCTCCTTTTCCCCATCTCTCACCTTGGGCTGCTGGGGTGGTTGTCATCATGCTCCGGGTGACTTTGCATCCTTCTGATCAGAGCTATAACTAGCAGAAACTGCACGTAAAGCAAACCAGTTGAGTAGGTAAGGCAAGGCACTGCACAGCATACAGTTCCACTATAGGCCATCGGGCTTGTAGGACAGGACAGGGTAGTCCACCAAGCCCCATGAGAAAGCATGCACCCCATATTAGGTTGGGGCCCTTGGGTGAAACCCCCATTGTGGGGCTGGTTCTGGCACCGCTTCTGATAGGAGGACAGATCTGGGAGGGAGGGAATGCAATGGCCGCCGAAGCTGCTCTTTCTCCAGCGTCCTCCTCTTCCACCCTCTGCATTAGAGGTCAGTTTCTCCTCGAGGTTCATTTCTCACTCACTCTCCCAGGAATCTCCAGATCAGTGAGATCTCCTACAAACAGGCAAATCATCAAAATCTTCCCCCAGGAACACCTGCAAACACAGACACCAGGGGCAAGGGCAGAGGGTCCTAGTTTGCTCCACCGAGGCCAGTTTGGGTTTGACAAGGAGGGGAAAGAGAGCTAAATTCTGCAAATAATCCCTCCTCTCACCAAAGACAAACAGGGCCAACATTTATCCTTTGCTCCCTCTGCATGTCCCCCAGAGTTCACGAGGCTTTAATATAACATTTGATTTATCCCAAAAGAAATCTCTATAGGCCTTCGGGCCTATGGAACTCTATGGCTCTGAAAATACATGCATTCATGAAACTCCCTCATGCAGTGCTCAGGTACTATATTCCACTCTGCTATCTATTTCACTCTGGTCCCGGCTCTGGCACCTAGGTGGCGTTATAGTGCATAGAGCACTGGGCCTGGCGTCAGGAAGACTCATTTTCCCCGAGTTCAAATGTGGCCTCTGATACTAGCTGTGTGACCCTGGACAAGTCACTTAACCCTGTTTACCTCAATTACCTCATCTATAAAATGAGCTGGAGAAGGAAATGGTAAACTACTCTAGTATCTTCACCAAGAAAACCCCAAATGGGGTCATGAAGAATGCACATGACTGAAAATGACTGAACAACAAAGTCCTAGCTCTATTCCCATTCTATCTCCCTCCTATCTAAAACACATACCAGGAAATTTCTTCAATCCCCCTCTGGTTAATTCTCCTTTAAATTTTCACACATCTCTCTCCTTGACATTCCACCCACACTGAGGCTTCAAGCATAGCTGTGCATCCACTCCGTCAATTACAAAGGGAGATGATTCTTGTCCCCTGTAATACATTTATATGGAATCAGCCAATATAAGTCTGAGTCCTAGCTTTGCCACTAACTAGCAGTATGGTTCTGGGCAGTCCTTTAACTCCTGTATCCCTCCTTTCCTCATCTGCCACATGGATAGCTATTTCACAGGGAGGTGAGGACCAAATATAGAAATGAATGTATATAAAGTCATTTACAAAACATAACCTCTATATAATACACTATATATATAGTGTTATCTTTAGTGAAAACCCCAAGCACACTCAGCCTCATTCCTAAGGTTCCAGAGAGACTTAGTGTCTCTCCTCAGGGCTGAAATGGGCAAACCCCTTGTTTTCTTGTTTAAAACTTGTGGGGTTCCACAGTACCCAAAATCCAAACTTCCATTTAAGCAATCTGAGGCCTGTTAAGAGACCTTGGATGATTCAGGGATTTTACTGTAATAATTACAAAATGGAGATTAAACAAACATCATCAGTCTTTAAAGTAGTTGGATATACTTAGCCATCAACCCTAAAAACAATTATAACCACACTTCTTCTAAAGGATACCCAACTCTGTGTGGTACAAGAGGCCATTAGGAGTCAAAGAAGGGTATGTCTTAAGCTGCTACAGATTTGTATTCTGCAGTGATTCGTGTCAGCACTGACCAGGGGCAACAGAACATCCAACATTCCCCCCGCCTAGACCTGTACAAGGGAATTTTGCCCAACAAGGAGCGTTTGCATTGCTCGAGTTCTCTCTCCTAATGCATTCTTCCTCTCACAGACCATTAAAGTTAGTGGAACATAACACAGAAGGTTATCATACAGACTCATAGTTATAGATGGGGAAAGTCTGTTTATACAGACCTTCCACAACCTGGCCCCAGTCTAACTTCCTAGTTTTATTTTGCATTGTTCTACAGAGGTCCTGCAGAACATGTAGTTTCATCTCAACCATGCCATTTTTTCAGACAAGGTGTCCCTACTGCTTGAGATATACTCACTTCTTATCCCTCTGCCTCGCAGAATCTTTTTTCTGTAAAAATTTCCCTCATCCCCAATCACTCCCTTACTTCTGTGCTTACAAATTACCTTGTATTTACTTATCTTCACAGTCCCACCTCTCTCACCTCCATTGTCCATCATAGAAAGTAGGCTACTTGAAGATGAGAACTTTTCATTTTTGCCTTGGTTTCTTCCCCACACAATGCCTAGCATAGAGGATGGACATGATGCATGCTTTAGAAAAGACTGTCAAATTGAATTGCATCCTGGAAAACCTGCAGCATTGAGAATTATAGAAACTTCCTTATATCTCCACTTGAATGTGAAGAATGAGGGAAAATTCTTTCTAGACATATCCCAGACAAATATTCCTTGTCTTTGGATTTCCTTTCCCTTCCTTATGTGACCAGACAAATTTCCTCCACTCCTCATACAAGGGTATCTTCTTCATGTCCAACTATATATGGGAAAACCTGGGAGTTAGATGATTCCTGGTCCCCATATTCTGCTTGTTGTTTTATCGGGATTTATATTGCTGCACTGAATGCCAGCCCTCAAAGAAAGAAATTCATGGTCATAGAAAAACAGAGATCCAAGTTGTCTCAGACAACCTAGAGTTTCTTTAAGGGACACTGAAGTCTAACCCTTGGTCCCTGTGTTTCTTCCATGATCATGGCTGTGGGACTTCTCAGTTACTATGAGGTATGGTGGTTTCAGTGTCTGCAAAGGAGTCAGAGAATGAGTCATCAGTGGGAAGAACAACGGACCTGGTAGTCAGAAGACCTGGATGTGAATCCTGATTGTTCCAATCTTTAGTTATGAGATCTTAGGCAAGTCACTTAACCATTATGGGCTTCAGTTCCCCCATGTGTCAAAAGATGGGAGTAGGAAGGATAATCTGTGAGGACTGTGCCAGCTAGAAGATCCTATGAACTGATGACGCCTTTTCCATTGTCAGGAATGTTTGAGGGAATGGCTATGCAGGCCATTAGTAACATTTTATTTTAAGGAATGAGATGACAGAAACTGAGTACAGCCTTTCCTGAAGGAATGACCATTCCTCTGTCTTGACCTAGGATTTAGGAATGTCATGGTATTAATGAAGTCATAAGATATGCTGGAGGCCTCTAGATCCCACAGACCATCCCTGCTGTCCTTTGTTATAGTCTGAGTATGGCCCCCTCTGAATATTTGACTGGTTCCATACTTCACATAAGTAGAATGTAACAACACCTGAACAGTGAAGTAGTTGGACAGGTAACCATCTCTGGGAAAAAAACTCTAGAGAGATTTTAATATCCTTTTTCCCATATTCTCTCCCATCTCGGAATACAGAAAAGTCACAGAAGGCTTTTGGAAGAGAAGTTGAAAGATAGGGGCAGCTAGGTGGCGCAATGGGTAGAGCACTGTTCCTGAAGTCAAGAGGACCTGAGTTCAAATCTGACCTCAGACCAAACACTTGACACTTACTAGCTGTGTGACCCTGGGCAAGTCACTTAACCCCAACTGACTAAAAAAAAAAAAGTCAAAAGATAAAAGGGCCACCACAGAGGTTATTCTGTTGTTCATTCATCTGCTGCTCATGCTGGCCTCTTCTCCCTTCTTCCCTCCTCCATCTTGGTCTTCAAAGCCTCTTCATCCCTTTTTCTATCAGCTTTTCTTTACATGCCAATCTCTTTTCACTCCAACATGATCTCTTCCATCTTCAATAATTTCTTCCCTCTTCTCCTCCTGAATTTTTTATTCCTTCTTTTTCTTTTCATCTTTCACTCCCCTTTCTCTTCATTTCCCCCCTTTCATTCCTGCTCCAGGCCCTGCTTCCTCTTCTCCCCTTTCCTTTTGTGACATTAATTTGACTCATTTCCTAGGGAAAAAGAATATATGAATTAATGAAAAATCCCAATAGCAAAATGTTTTCAAATAGAAAGGCTTTTTAAAAATTACTTTCAAAAGTATTCCCAGGACAGATTTTGATAGGGGAGCAAGCAGAGAAAGAAAGAACTGGGTAATAATGTCTATAAGAGTATTTTGTCAGAACTGTAACAAATAAAATAGATTTAATGAGTAATTAGCACATTTCTTGTTTTGAGTGTAAAGTTTGAGTTTTTCTTCAATTTGCAATAGGCTGTTAAATTTTGGTTGCTAAATTTTGTTTGCTAAACATTTTAATTTTTGTAGAACCTGTAATTTTCCTGAAAACAGGAAAAACCATATTCTGATATTATATAATGAAGCAGTTTCTGTGTGCTAGTAGATCACCCAAAATAATGGTGTTTTATTGGTTCCCAACAATAAACAGTCCTTACCCTAGAGGCCCATATGTAACATAAGCAAGGGTTTCAGGTACCAGATCTTTTAAGAGGCAATGCTAGAGACAATCTGTGTATCTATATATGCATATACATATATTCTGAAATTAATGACTAAAATTGTATCCTGATCCACTCTTATTGTGCTGCTTTCAATCATGCCCCAAATATGTGGACAAAACTTTCAGAGCCAGCTTTCACCTCTCCTCCTCCCTTCTTTCCTTCTTCCCACCAGTCATTAAAGTATGTTCATTCTTTCACATTGTTCTTATATTCATCCCTTCCTTTCTATTCTATTTCCTATACTTCAGAATAGGGTGTTACACCAATTCTGAGATCTCATAGTAATCATAGTTATTATGCCTTTCTTAGTGTTTCATGATGTACTCAAGTCATTTAGTGTTTCACTGCTTTTGAAGAACTTCAAATACATTATGTCTGATGCTCAAAACAGCCCTTATAAGTAGAATAGTTCTTATTCTCATTCAACAGATGATTTATAAAACTAAGGCTATGAGAAGGTGACTTTCAAAGATCACACAGTAAAAGCAAAGAAATGGGAACTAGTACCCTGATGCTAGGTGGCACAGTAGATAGAGTGCCAGGTGTGGAGTCAGGAAGATCTAAGTTCAAACCCGACCTTAGACATAAATCCTGGTGGCAAGTCACTTAGCCCTGCTTGCCTCAGTTTCTTCATCTGTATAATGACCTGGAAAGGAAATGGCAAATCATTCCAGTATCTTTGCCAAGAAAACCCCATGGACAGTATTGGCATGCTGTGGTTCACTGGGTCATGAAGAGTTGGACAGGAGTTAACATCCTCAACCCCAATGCTCTTCTAACACTTCTTCAAATAGTTTTTCATCATGCCTCCCTGTCTCTTTGATGATACTTTCCTTTCTTTTATTTCTTTTATTTATTTATTTTTTACTTTTTAGGCATTTGGGGTTAAGTGACTTGTCCAGGGTCACACAGCTAGTACACGTCAAGTGTTTGGTCTGAGGCCGGATTTGAACTTAGGTCCTCATGACTTTAGGGCCGGTGCTCTATCCACTGTGCCATCTAGCTGCCACGATACCTTCACTTCTTGCTCAGCTTTTAGAAAGATTTTTCCTCTTCCTGACATCTTTGCTGTAATGACCTGGCAATACATTTGCTAAATGCCTTCTTTCCCTCATTTTTTTGGGGTGGTAGTTGGGGGGACAACTAACCTTAATCCTCTAAATATCATGATCCATGAAGTGATAGTTCTGGCACCTAACTTCACCCAAGATCAACATAAGAAGGAAAGAAACTTGGCTCAGCAAAACTGTATAAGATGGGTGTATAGTTCTCAAGCCAAAACCTGGCAGAACAAAAACAGTACTAGTACATTGTCTGTGGTAGGAACTGCTGGAAGACAGTTTAATCTCCAGGTCTACAAACCCAGGAGATCTCAAATCTTGTTTTATGCTCTAGGCCTCAGGGATTGGGAAAGAGATCTGAATCATGAATGAACTGAGTAATGGGACATAAAATTAATTTTCCAAAAAGGTGGAACTGTCATCTAGAAGAAGAGAGTCCCAGTGCATCTCAAGACCATTTTAGGCACAGATGACATTGTTCCAGAAAAAAAAATATATAGATAGATAGATAGATAGATAGATAGATAGATAGATAGATAGATATAAAATCTAGGGAAGAGAAAGGGTGGCAACTCAGTGGGTATAGTGGAGTATGTAGTATGAGACAGATTAGTCATTGTCATTGTGAGGACTTCCATGCCTAAAGACAAGCAGGAAAGAAAAGTACAAGAACATATCTAGAGGAATTAGAAGCCACCATCTAAAATTGAAAAATGAATGAAAGGGGTTATAAGAATTTGAGAGCTTAGAGATGGCAGGATGAGCAGAATGGAGCAGAACCAAATGTTCTGTATGGGATCAGCAGCTTAACATTCTTTGGATTATCTGAGGGCAGTCATCTCCTTAGAAGTAAGAGAATAAAGTCTATCTTGACAAGGACCCTTCTAATTCTGTTTTTCTATGTCATGTCTATTTCTCATTCTTCTTTCCCTCTACATCATATCTAGGACTCATTTCCAGAATTTTACTTTAAATATTTCGAAGATTTGTGATTTCAACATTATGGTCATTACTTCCACCAAAACAATTTTCAAGTATGTCCTGACCTCTTGTAGTTTAGAAAGACAACCTTTCTGGGTTAGTTTAGATCCTTCTGGGCTAACCATGTTATCTTATAGATGAGAAAACTGAGGCCTTAGAAGGCTGTGCTATGCTTAGTGTTTCTGAGTCCAAATCTGTTGTTTTAACTACAAATCTAGAACTCTTCTAGTGTACTAAGTAGCCTATCTCTTCTTTAGGTGAAGTCTTCAAGGTGCATAATCCACCCATTAACACTGATTAAAAGCCCCTCCAGCCCTTAACATTCATTAGTTGTATTTCCTTGGCTAATTTCTCTGTACCAGTGGGGTAAATTAATGCACTTTTATGAGATTCTGTTTTTCTTGATTTTTAAATGGGGGTAGGGGTGGGGTGTAGAAGAAAGCATGTGTAAAGTCACCTCCAAGGCTATTATTCTATGATGTCTTCATTACTAATCTCCCATGTTGTGGGACATTAGGAAAGCTAGAGGTTTGGGGGCAATAGAATGTGACATGGGAGAAGAAGACAGAAATAATTGAAAGAGACAGAGATGATTTGTAGAGAATGGCATGAAAGCTAGATGAGGAAGACGTATAAAGGAAACATGATGATGATTCAGGACAGAGTTAGAAAGAAAGAACTGGATGGAAAGGCTTTACTGTCTCTGCTGGTGTGGGCCTTCCATCTCCATTGCTTCAATAGCAACTGCCAAGGAACCAGTTCTAAACTGCAGGGCTATAAATAATAGGGAAACCCATGTCTTGTCTGAAACTTTTTTACCTTTGGCTGAGGGACTGGGAAGGACATCTGAATATGGAAGGTTCTAAAGGGTTGGAAACCACTGTTTCAAAATTGTAAATTCTACCAACAGTCACCCTGAGGGGACAGCTGTGCTTCTAAGGTCCAGGGACTGATGGAACAATTTAAAGAATGGATGGGGGCATTCCAGAGAAAAATCTGGTGGATACAAAACAGAAAGATGGAGTGAACATTCAAGTGGGTGTGTGGGGTAGGGTGATTGAGGGTGGTGGTGTTATATTTAATTCAGTCTTTTGGATTTAGAAATTTCCCGTTTTTATTGAGAAATGTGATATGACATATTAGAGGAGTATTTATTATATAAGAAAGTTACATCTTCCTGCTCACAAAATGATTTCTAAGCAAACATTTCTATTTTTCCTTCCCATACTAAAGGAAAACAAAAGTACCTGATTATGCATTATTTGAATGGTAGTTCTGCCATGGGATAAAAGAACAAGATTTACATATTCCCTATTCTGCCATTAAGTAATAATAACCTTTTATTCATTGGTATTTAGTCCCAACATCAATCCTGATAATGTCCATTTTCTTTTTGTCTGGACCTGTGATTTCATTTATGTAGAAAATCACTAGTGAGGAAATTCCTCCTAGCAATGCATATTAGAATCAATTCTGCAATTTATAATCTTAATGAATAGCTTGAGGCAACAAGAGATTTACTTTAAGCCTAGGGTCAGACACTTGAAATATGCCAGAAAGGGGCACTGAACCCTGGTATTCCTAACTCTAAGGCCAGTTATTATCTACTATACCAGTCTACCTACTTCTCAATGTAATCTTTAATAGGGCATACATACACAATCAAGAGATGTAGTGTGAAAGGGATGAGGATTAGAAAACCTTTTTTTGCTTATCCTTCCTGTTGGTTTAAAAGCTCAGTTATTAATCATATTATATGAAAGTAGGGTAGGGTAGGGAATAAGCACTTATTTAAGTGCATGCTATCTGCCAGGCACTGTGCTAAGTAAACACTTTACCAATAATATATCAATTGATCCAACAATCCTGGTGCTATTATGACCCCCATTTTATAGTTGAGGAAACTGAGGCAGACAGATTTAGACTTGCCCAGGATCACATAGTACATATCTGAGGCTGGATTAGAATTCAAGTCTTTCTGACTTCAGGTAAGCAGTTTAGGTAGGCTGGAATCTGGTACATGGTCCTACTGGCATACTGGGAGTAAAACTTTGGTTACTCTTAAAGAAACTCCCAAAACAACATGGTTATCTTATCTGCTCTGTCTTGCACCTCCAGCCAGAAAGTGAGTGATTGAATGGGAAGGAGCAGGTAAACTTAACTGGATTTTGTTCAGTTGCTCAGATGTCTAAAGACCAGAGGTATCTCTGCCCCAGAATGGACCCACAACACTCATAGTCTCCAATATTAACTTTTGACCATCTCCTATTTTCTACTAGTCAGAGCTCATAGAAGGAGGAAGGCATTCTTTATTTTGTGTCCAGGAAACTCTAAATCTCCTCAAATCAGAAAGTTAACTCAGAAGAAGAAAAACAGGCAAAGTATTTACATTGCACTTACACTAGGTTAGTTTAGAAGGTAGCTATGCAACAGAAAACTTGGACTTATGAGACAAATTATTTAGTCTAATCCTAAAGAATGCTTGGATTAAAGGAAAAAAAACATACAAATGATAAAGAATCATATCAAAGATAATAATTATGATGAAATAGTATAATAAAATTTACGGGATGTAGCCAATGTAATCTCTAGGGGAAATGATTTCTCTGAATATTTCTCTAGCTAATCTCTATTTTAGGACTAAATATTACTTGTAACACCTTGCCCGGTGCCCAGTTTCTAAACTGCATTCATTCATTTCCCAATAGTCAAGAAGATCTGAGTTCAAATACAGCCTCAGACACCATCTGTGTGACGGTGGACAAATCACTTAACCTCTGCTTACCTCAGTTTCCTCATCTGTAAAATGGGGGTAGATAATAATAGCACCTACCTCTCAGGGTGATTGTGAGGAACAAACGAGATAATAATAAAGCACTTAGCACAGTGCCTAACACACAGTAAAAATTATATAAATGTTAGCTATTATCATTATTCAGCAGCATTTTAGAGGCATCCTTCCCCATAACTGCCAAGGGCTGTTTGAGTCTCTGCTCTCAACTCCCTCCCATCATACCACCCAGTTTTCTTGAGTTTCTTTCTTTTGGTCTTCTGTATCAATGAATGAATAGAAATGGGAAAATGAGTAGATAAATACCATTAGGCAGAGTTGTTTCAGATATTGCCCTGTACTTCAAACACCTCAATCTTTAGTTCTAAATTCCTGCCATTATTACATATAATTCGCCATCCTCAACCTATCATACTTTCGACCATTTCTACATCAAGAAACGTTTATTTAGAATCTATTGCTTGCAAGGAAACATTTTACCTATCTAGGGTTACAAAGACAAAAACAAAACTCTCTTTCCTTGGCCTCAAGCAGCTTACATCTGAAATGGCTAAATTGTTCAGTAGGCAGAGTTTTGGGACTAAAGTCAGGGAGGCCCGGGTTCAAATGCTGCCTCAGATACTTGCTATATAATCTCATCTATAAAATGGGGATAGCATTAGGAGGATTGCTACTTACAGGAACAATAATTCACAAGATCATTGTGAGGATTAAGTGAGATAATTTTAAGCGCTTTATAAAATTTACAACACTATATATATGCTAGCTTATTATTATTACTATTATTTCATGCTACTAGATAGTTAAAACATGTACTTTTATAGCTAACATTTATCTAGCACTTTAAGGTTTGCAAACTAATTGTCTGGGACTAGATATAAACACAAGTCTTCCTGATTCCAGGTCTAATGCCCCTTCTATCCATCATGCCATCTAGTTGCTCAGAAGTCAAGGGCCTAGACTGGAAGTTAAAAATAATTTCATGGGAGTGGGTCAGTGTATTGCTTCTTTAGTAGTTAAGAGTCATTTACCTACTTCATATCATAGCATACTGCGATGGTGTTTTTACATATCAATATTATTTTTCCTATTGATGTTTACTTTGTTCTAGATTGTGTTCTGGTGATTATTTAATATATTTTATTTTGAGTTGGAAGTTGGAAAGCTTTTATCAAGAATTTAATACCTACAAACTGATTGGACCCTCACTAATGATAATGCAGAAAAGGTAATAGTTAAGCAGGTACATAATATGGACGCAGATAGTTCGATATATTTTGCAATCAGCATGAGATAAGTCATGTGTAATAGTTATTTTATTACAACTTTTTGCTTAAACCATATATAGGTGCAAAATAAAATTCATACCATTAGTTTTTATAAAGTATCACCTTAAAGCTTAGAATGTCACATAAACAACTTTCTACAAGCCCTATACCTATAAACATGAAATAGGAGATATAGTACTTGAATAAGACCTTAACCTTTGACTTGAAAAATGGAACAACTTTATGTATTTTCTACCTGTACTGTATATTTAAATGGAAATCACCTCTTGTCTTCTAGTGGTGGACTGTTGCCACCATTTTGTAATCATTACTAAACCTATCATTCAAAAATCTCTCATTCTTCATAATTAACTAAGGAGCATGCTATCCTTAACTATTCTTGTGGACCATTCCATCAGAAGCACATTAATAAACAAGCATTTGTCAAGTACCTGCAAATGTGTCCAGACTTAGTACTGGAAACACAGAGATGAAAATGAAACAGTTCCTGCCCTCAACAAGCTTATATTCTAGGTCACCTTATAAGGCAAATCTCTATCCTAGAGAATAAATATTCAATGGCAGCCAGAATCCCTAGAGACTGCTATATATGGAATAAGAATTTATACATCCATTAAAAAAAAGGGAAAGTTACTTGCATTGCATGAGAACAACAAAATCTAACAATCCACAGTGGGCAAAATATTTATAAGAAATAAAGGATCATGTGTGTGTGAGTTTGTGTGTGTGTATGAGAGAGAAAAAGGAGAGAAAGTTATTAATAGGATGTTTCCTGTAGTGCTTATCAAAGCCTTTGGAGCAAATCCAAATATGTTACTCCATTCCATGGGGGAAAGCAGTGGGAAAGCTTAGAGAAGGGAGTCTCCTGAAGATTGTGACAAGATATTCCTAAATATTTCATTGTTTCCTTGCCTTGGAAGCCAGCCCCAAATGGTAGAACTGTAGTCCTGTTGATTGTACCCTTGGAGAGTATAACAACAAAACTAATGAATTAAACAACACTGAGACCTAGCTACCCAGGATCGAAGCAAATTTGAAAGAAATTTGGCACAGCAACACTATGAAACGTGAATATGTAATTCCCACATGAAAACCTTGTTCAACAAGACCAATTGTACCTTTACGGTGTCCTTTCTCTGCTACACTGTAAATTCTTCTGATCTCTGACAAAGATACCTGACCATTTTATGACCTTTTATACAACCATCTTATTTGTATATATAAAGATGATGATGTTGGTGAAGCCAGAAGGACCTGGAAATAGAGATTACAAAGGGTTATTCCAAAGAGATCCTTACTTTGGGTGTCCATGATGATGGGGGAAAAAGGTAGAGAATGAGAGGGTTTATAGCATTCGTCAAATTTCTCCCCTAAAACAAACTCCCTTTTTTATATAACTCACTCTTACAACCTCTTGGGTGGGTCAGCTTACCCCAGAGAATCCTCCCCCAATTCCTCCAAATCTGAACATTACTCTTACCTGACCCATGAAGCATAGTTCTTTAAAGCAGCAGAATTTGTTCTGAAAGGCATAGTCACAGTGATGGGCCATTATGTCCCAAATCAATGATACCATAACAACTAAGATTGTCCAATGACACGTTAGCCCCTTATAGGCTCACTGCCTTAGCCTCTTGGCATTTTATATTTAATTGCTCTTGGCAACAGTGGCCAAAATGCTCTCAAAAGATAATACAGCCTCATTTATCCTTATCCCACACCACACTTGTTTGCAGGGCCAAGATACAGGTATATACAGGCAAGGGACAGACCTTGGGGAAAAGTGTTAACAATACATACTACTTTGTCTAGGCTCCAAGGTCTAAAGACTTAAAGGAACAATCCTTGACTTAGAAAACTACGAATTAACAATATCAATGCTTTATTATATTTTTATTTTCTCAACTATTTCCCAATTACATTTTAATCTGGTTTGGCAACACTCAGCGGTGTTGTAAGCAGTGGGTTTGGCACCTCTAATCTAGCCTAACTATCATTTTACAGGCAAGAAACTGATGTAGAATCATAGATTTAGAGGTGGAAGGGACTTTAGAGGCTACCACAAGCAACTCCTCCATTTCGCAGATGAGGAAACTGAAGCATAGAGTATTCCAGTGATTTGCTCAGCATCACACAACAAATAAATGCCTAAGACAGGATTTGAACCCAGGTCCTCCTGACTCCAAATCTGTATATATGTGAGTCCCATTCACTTATGTGTGTCCCATTCACTTATGTTACATTAAGTCATTTGTTCAAAGGCCATGTAAGTGGAAAATTAACAGACCCAGGCATATTATCTTAGTGAGGGTGTCGTCCATGGAGAGCTACTGGACTTAAAAGACAAGAAGACCTGGGCTTGAATACTTACTTGCTGTGTGGCCCTGGGCAAGTCACTTACCCTCTCTGGGTCTCAGTTCTCTCACCTGTAAAATGAAGGGACTGGCACTGATGATTTCTGCAATCTCTTCTATCTCTAAATCTATAAGCCTATGACCCTCCATCTCCAAACCAGGAGATTTTGGATAAGGCTGCATTGCTTCTCTATCATTTCCTAAGTGGGTCCTTCCTCCATCAACACAGCTCAAAATCCTCTCAAGGCCTTAGGAGACAGTTTTCTTGAACTGCTGTGGCCAGAAAAGCTCATGAGTTGGTAGTCTAGTGGGTAGTGATGAGAGGTTCTGAGAACTCAATTAGCTAGCTCCTCGGGCAATGGGTGTGACCAGGCCCATACTCAAAGCTTTTTTAAGTTTGTTGACCTCTGCACCAGAGCTTGTTCTCCATGGGCACGGTCTTCAAAAAGTCAATCAAATACATGCCACAATGAGGCATCAAAGGGGAGGTTTATTTTTACCATGAGATGCAGTGTTGGATTCCCAGTGTCTTCTTGGCCACTGCTTCCCAGTATTTTCAAGAGCAATTAGATATTAGCTCTAATCTGAGTCTGATTAGGACTTCATCCAGGAAAGGTCTTGTCTAAGATCTGAGGCCTTTGGCTAGGGTTGGGGGAAAGGGAAGGAAGGAAGGAAGGAGGAGGGCAGGCAGTTCAGAATGTGGAATGTTCTGGAAATCAGTTGAAGATCAACATTTCAAAAAAACAATTCTCAACCTTCTTCTACATAAACAGCCAAGCAGAGGGGAATCTTAGTCAGTTGTTGTTGGGACCTGCAAGGGACTGGTGTCTGCCCTTGGCATCTCAGAGAAAAAGCTGATGGGCTCAAAGGCAAAAAAGAAAGGCAAAAAGGATCAGTGGATGGGTGTGGAGGGGAAGAAAGGTTATTCATTGGAGTCTTTAGTACTTACTTAGGAATACTCTTTTTCAGGAATATAAGTAATGTCTTATTCTAAGAGTACATTAGAGCAACCAAGTTATTTCTTTATATAATTAAAGGCCTTATAGTAATAGTGCTTCTTTCCAGTGAATTATTTCTCTGACCATTCTACAGAAAGACAACACCTAGCTTTGTAGGACTTGCATAGCAGTTTAAGAAGGAGGGAGGAGATGAGCCAAGATTTACCAGTTCCTTATCCTGCCATTAAATAACAATTACCTCTCATCTTTCCTTGTATCTCTCCACACCTAAGATCATATTTAGCACTGATAGGAATCGCTCAACATTTCCAAGTGTTGATTTAGGGGAAAGGGTTAGAGGAGGGGGAGAAGGAAAGAATTAGAATCTAGCACCTTCCTCTTTATCTCTTTCTCCCTTCTTGGGTTCAAAACTGCCTCACTGATCTGCAGAGGGACACTGGGATGGGTCTCTGGTTCCTTTTCAGACTTTACAGTCAAGGGGTAGGATTTTAGCCACCTTGCAAGGAACTTCTAAAGGAAAAAAGGTTAATTGTTTTGTCTTGTCTTCCCTGTCTTGACTTTAATACTTCCAGACAGAAGATGGGTGGCTAGAAAGAATGAAAAAGATGATTTATTTAATTTTCTTTTGATGCTCAGTGATCTGGGGATCAAAGCACACCCTACCTTTATATAGATCAACACCATAGATCAACACCATTAAGAGCACTTTCCTTAATCAACTCTGGCATTGTAGCATATTTAGAGTGTTGGCTTTGTAGTTAGGAAGACCTGGATTTAAAACCTGCCTCAGAAGCATTTCCCACCTGTGTGACCTTGGGCAAGTCACTTCATTTCTGAAACTCCTTTTTCTCATCTGCGAAACAATAACAGCATCCATCTTCTAGTGTTGTTGTGAGACTTGAATGAGATGGTATTTATCAAGTGCTTACTATGTGCCAGGTATGGTGCTAAGTGTTAGGGATACAAACATAAGGAAAAAAAATGGTCCCTACTTTCAAGTAGCTAAAAAGGGAAGACAAAACATAAAGGAGGGCTAGCAAAGGGAGGAGGGAGAACACTTCCCACTGGGCCAAGGCTGCTGGTGAAGAGTTAAAGCAGTCCAAAGAACGAGCGTCACTTTGTAAACCTTAAAGCACTATATAAATGTGAGCTATTATTTTTGAGGCAGATATGGGAAGGAGAGAGGTTTCTTCTTTAGTTCTTCCTCTTGTATACAGGAAGCCCTGTATCTCCTCAAATCAGAAAGTCTGCTCAGAGGAGGAAAAATGAGTCAGATGTTAATACTATGTCCAGACAGTGAAAGGTGTAGCCACAAAGTAGGAGACAAGGTCTGCATTCTGACCTGTTTGGGGCCCCCCCAAAAATCGCTTTGGATTATACAGCAGAGCTGTTAGGGTACAAAGCAACATATGGTCTATATCAAGGAGCACCTTCACCATTTGCCAGGACATAGACACCTAGTCTGCCGAGTAAGATGCACACAAAAATCCCAAAGAGGAAAAAACCACCCTCTAGACCTCTTACAAAGGAGAAGGGGCAGGGGACATGGGGGTGGAGTGTATTGTAAGGGATATGAAGAGCCCAAAGGTGACCACATTTGTCAGTCTGGTCAAAGAGAACAGCACTAATGCTGTTTCCAGTCTGATATTCTGCCTTTCTCAAGAAGCCCTGGTCTGAGCATATCTTTTTGTGAGTCGAAAAAGGGAAAGGTTTCAGGAACTGGCCATTCTATAAACAGATCCTGGAGAATGAGGTATGACCCAGAAAAAAGCACTTGATGTCTTCAAAGAGAGGCTCAGCTCTCATGTCTTCAACCTCTGTGGTCTCTCAGGTTGTCAAATGGGATTCATAACAACAGGAAAAGTTGAATCCTCAACGGTGAGGATCCTACTGTCAAGTGTCAGCCTTGGTGACTGGCTTTCAAAAGCGGAAGCCAAAAGCAGTAAGGATAGTTTGGGACCCTTTCTACAACCGCACCTCAATCCATCCCCTCGCCACAAATGCAAATTGCCCAAAAAAGTCACCAAAGTTGAATCAGTACAAGGCCCAGCAACTCTTATGATAGCAAGAAAATTGGGGTTCAAATAACGATCTTAGGGTCTCAGAATATGAAGGCTCCGAAGGAGCATCATCTGTGAGGAAAGAACTATACCAGGAAAGAGACACACCAGCACCAGGAGACCCAGACTGTGGCTGGGAGACACAAAAGGGGAGCTATTTGTTAGAAGGGAGCTGAGCTGGAGATCCTCCACTTCTAACTAGTTGTGTGATTCTTGGCAAGTGAATTCATAGCTCTGAGACTCATTCCCTTCTATAAAATGTTACATTTCAACTAGATATTATTCTTTACCATACCTCCTACATCTAAACATGTCAACTCTAAAAATGTGGAGATGAAGAGTCATTTGAAAAAGCATTTATTAAGCACCTACCATGTGCCAGCCACTGTGCTAGGCACTGGGGACACAACACAAAGACTCAAACAATGCCCCTAATCAAAGCAGATACCTTGTGGCACAGGCCTTGTAAGGGAGAGACCAGGAAGACGAAGTATACTTCCCTTCCTCATCTAAATCTTTCTTCTCTAAGATTTGTTCTTAGGCAAAGGATTTGAAAGCAAAAGCTTGTGGAGTTTCTGACAGCCTTTCTACCCATTCACGTCCTATGTGTTCAGTCCCTTTCACGTATCTCTGCTCTCTTATACACTTCAATCATCCTACCATTTTTTCTCCTTTCCTTCTCCCACTTCATCCTTTTGCTTTTGCCTTAGTTTTGTTGATGATACCCAAAAATACTCTGCAGGAAATTCAAGAGATTAATAGACTTCTAACTTAAGACATAGGAACATAGGAATGAGTTGAATAAATGCGATCAGAAAAAAAAAACAATCTGAAAGTTTGGGTGCTGCCCTTGACCCTCTAAGGCTTAGATCTCTGAGTATCACATTCTTTTTTTTTTTTTTTTAGGCAATTGGGGTTAAGTGACTTGCCCAGGGTCACACAACTAGAGTGAAGTGTTTGGTCTGAGGCCAGATTTGAACTCAGGCCCTCCTGACTTCAGGGCTGGTACTCTATTCACTTGAGTATCACATTCTAATGACAATTTTCCTAGCATCAAACACCAATCCCCTGGTAGTAATGTTTGGTTCATAAGTATAAACTTTACCTGACGCAAGTTGAGTTGATCTGTTTTTACTGTTTCTGTGTCATTGGACCAGAAAAGTTCAGCAGGGTGGAAAAGGACCCATAGAATTGCACAGATCTCCTTAATACAGAAAGCCAATACCATCCAGAAATGAATGAATGGATTAAAATAGTTAAGCACTATATCCCTGGCACTATGCTAAGCCCTCAGGTACAAATAAAAAAGCAAGACAGTCCCCACTCTCAAAAGGAGCTCACATTCCAATTAAGGGAAAGAACACATTCAGGAAGGTTGAGGGCAGAGAAATGTGAATGGTGACTCCCTGATCCAAGCAGTGTGAACAGCCACATCCCCAACTCCTAACTGTTGGGCAGGGGCAGTTAGGGGTCAGTTAGTGTCTTCTTTAAGGATCAGAACAAAGAGGCTCCTTTGTTGGAAGGCCGGAGGAGGAGCAGGGAGGAAGGGAGAGGTAATAGGAGTGTCCAGGCCCTGGTGGTAACTAGGCAGTGGGAGTTAAGGTGGGGAATAAGGGCTTCCTGCTGTAAACAGAGATGTTCTCCTATAGGGAACTGGGTGCCAAACACACTATGGAAGGGGAACGAAGGCTTCAGGTCCATGAGGAATCTGATTAGGTGACCACCAGCATGATAAGCCCTGTGTTATCAGTGTGTGAGGGTGTGTGTGTGTGTGTGTGTGTATAATAAAAATAATTTTAAAACCCACCCTGGTTCTCAAGGAAAACCTCTAATTATAGAACATTTTAGGGTATTCTGTGTTCATTTGTATACTGATATATCACCACATGAAAGACTTCTATGTGGGAAATCTTTTCACCAAAGTTTTTCATAGCCTATCTGTAATTGTGCGAGAATACCCAGAGACTTAGACATGTGTACACGTTTCCCATGCTCACAGTAAGAGGCAAGATTTTGAACCTAGGTTTTCTTGACTCCAAATCCAAGGTGCTGTCAACTATGCCCTACTATCTCAAATGTAAATGACACATTTACATTTACACCATGATTTCCTGTGGCTCCCCAGTCTTGAGATCTTTTAACTAGGTCGGGGGAACACAGCATTGCTTCAATCAGCTGGAGAAACATGAGACTGGTTATGCCTTGGACAGAGGAGAGGCTATCCGTAACAGAAGGGAGACTTATAAATTAATTCCTTACAAATTAACCTGAGTTAATTTTCTGCATATTTCAAAATGGGACTGTTTGGGATTGCTCTCCACTTCTTTCAAAGCTGTTCTGTTTGGACGTCAGATGGTGAAAAAAGCTGGCACAAAGGGATGGTAGCAATCCTGGGTCAGAGGTCCTTCCACAAAGCTAGGAAGGCCTGAAATGTTATTCCTACTCCTAGAGTTAGAAGAGGACTACCAGAGAGATAATGTGAAGAGGCGCAGGACTGCTGGGGGAGCTGATGGGCTGATGGGGGATGGGCAGATTGTGCTATACTTACCTCTTACTTGGGGGCTAGAGTATAATTTTTCACAACGACAAAAGTGGATTTTGAGTCATCAGAAGAGTAGGGGAAGCT